CACTGTTAGCCCGGATTTTATTTCTACTCAAATTATCTATGTACGTTGAAATTGATTGTTTAAGTTTGATTGTATAACTATCAATTTTAAGCGCAGTCTACTAATTCAAAGTAGAATATATTTACATTTGAAAGTAATGTCATGAATGAGTAACTTTAAGTTAAATGGGATGAAATTTTTAAGTTTTGGTCATGACCACGCCTCTTAAATTCCCGCTGCATTCAAGTAGTATAGGAAGGTTCGCTGTTCCCGAGGTAATTTTTCAACTTGGATGCTACAAAGAAGATTTTTTATGTTTTAATACTCAAAACATGTAAAAAGACATGGTTAGCCGTTTCTGGTGATATTTCATGTTGTTATCAACTATGCAGAAACACTTTTTAAGCTTTATATCAGTGATTTTATCCCATACCTGTTGTTGTATTCTACTAGTAGACTCTACAATACCTAAATCACAAAAATATTGACTTGATATCATTGATATCATGATTTATGCAAATAAATAACTCACTAATCTATTTTACTCTACATGGGCAGATATTTACTGTAGCTTATCAGTGTTTGTGTGATTTTTGTCATTCGGAAAATCATTTACCCGATTATTCTGACACCACTTGAATGCAGCATAGGTAACCTGTCTGAAGGCATTTTGCTGCACGTCACTTCTCCTGCGTGTATTTTCCATGGATGTATTTTCAAGTGTTCGCTGCTGGCGACGTGTGCCTCGAGTGGAATAGAGACGAAAAAAGAGGGCGACAGTACGACTGAATCTGGTGAGTGAGCGACCGCGTTTTTCTCTGTGGTCGCTTTTGATTTAAAGTTAGCACTAGCTCCATGACTGTTACAGCAGTGAAAAAAAACGTTTTCATTAGCTAAACTGACGTGGTAATGTTAAGACACATTTGGCTAGCAGTGTAAAGCATTTTAACGGACATTTTTCTATTCTAAGACACACATAGCTTTAGTAGCTGTTTGTGAGCAGTGAAAACGACGTTTCAAGTATTAACACTGATATTTTCACTTGTTAACGCGCGCTCAAAACCGACATTTTGAATCTGCTCCTAAACGTTGTGGCCGGTTGAAAAGGTTGCTTAAACAGATATTTGAAGCTCCTGTTTTTCAGCATTGGAAATTTTTGCTCTTGCCACGCTAATTGGATATTTTTTGTGTATTTTTCCACTCAAGATAATTGCCATTAATTGTTAGTAAATCACCTATCAAATGTTAACTGTATTCATGTGACCAGGCTGTGATATTGCAATGTGTATGTGACCCTCTTTACTTCCACAAAGCAACATTACTTTTTAAGAAGTGAACATCAAACAAATGGCATTACACAGTTTTGTCACTATCCAGAATTAAGAGTCTCAAAATACAGATAGATTGTAGAGGATAATCTAACATTACTTCCCCGTCTCTTATGTTTGTTTTTTTTTATTATTGTGTTGCAGGTCTCCAGAAGACATGTTGTGGAAGTGTAAGTACTGCCCTTTCATCTGTGAAAAGAGAGCACAGCTTTTTAAGCACTATAGACTAAAACATGGGAGCTATGCGAGAACAGAACCATTTCCATGTTTACACCAGGAATGTCTGTGTACATTCAAATCACTCAATGCACTAAGAGTACACTTATCCCGCCTTCACACCAAACCTTCAGAACAGCAACCAACTGTAGATGTACCAGTAAAGTTTTGTTGTCTGTCATGTGGGTTTGCTGAGTCTTGTACTGAAACTGACTACTTTAGTCACCTGCATAATGCACACTTAAAAGTCAACCATAAAGTTAGTTGCCCTTATAAAGACTGTGACTTTGAAAGCAGTGTCTACTCCACATTCAAAGCACACAAGAGTAAAGCACACAAGGAACACAGCTGGAAGAGGTTCAAGTCAGAAATCATTGGTTGTGATTATGAAGGTCATGATCAGGATGGTGCACAAGAGCAAATATCACATGCTGATGACATGGCAGAGTTGGAAGGAGTTAGTGAAGAAGCTAGTGAGAATGATATTCGTGATTTAGGAAAGCAGCTAGAGCACAACTTAGCATCTCTTCTGTTAAAGATGCAAACAGTTATGCACATACCAGAGAGTTCTGTGCAAGAGGTATTACAGCAGCTTTGTCAAATCAATAAGCTGTCAGAGCCACTTCTGCATAACAAAGTGAGGGCTACACTAAATGAATACTTTGATAATGTGGATGATACAGTTGTGAGCAAAATTACCAGTGCTGTGTCAGAGTGTAACATGATGTCATTTTGTGCCAAAGATGGACCCTTAGGAAGTGCTAAAAAGAGAGCAGCCTATGTACGCAAAGAGTTCCCACTCGTAAAACCTATTGAATATGTTGTGGAAAAAGGCAAAAAACCACTTGCATATGTCCCAATTGTTCCAATGCTCCAGAAGCTGCTTAACAAAACTGACGTGTTAGATAAAGCTATGTCAGAAAAAGTCCATGTACTGCAGGAATACACGTCTTATGCAGATGGACAGTACTTTAATGAAAATTCTCTTCTTGCAAGCGATGAGTTCACAATTGCTCTTGGCCTTTACATTGACGACTTTGAAGTAGCCAATCCTCTAGGAACGTCAAAACTGAAACATAAAATGTGTGCAGTGTATTGGGTCATTGCAAATATACCTGCAAAATACAGGTCCACCCTCAACTCAATCCAGCTTGCTCTACTATGCAATACCTCTACAGTTAAAGAGTGTGGTTATGCAAAAGTTCTGCAACCTCTCATCTATGATCTAAAGATATTGGAGCAAAATGGTGTTTACATAGAGTCACTAGGTGTAAGTGTGAAGGGCACAGTCTTATATGTTGCCGCTGATAATCTTGGTGCTCACTCTCTTGCAGGATTCCTGGAGAGCTTCAAGGTCGACAAGTTCTGCAGATTCTGTCTAGCGAGCAGCAAAGACGCACAACAGCAAGAGGTATGTTCTGGATTCTTTCAGCTCAGAGACAAAGACTCTCATGATAGGCAAGTGCAGGAGGTGAGAGAGGACACAGCACTGACTCAGACTTATGGTGTGAAAAGAGCATGTCCATTAACTGAAAATCTCGAGCACTTTCATGTGGTCACTGGGTATCCTCCCGACATCTTGCACGATCTCTTTGAAGGCATTGTGCCAATTGAGTTGTCCCTGTGTCTTAAAAATCTGATAAGCAAGAGGTATTTCACGTTAGATACACTAAATCAGGCCATCAGACACTTTAATTATACATTCACAGACAAAACAGACCGCCCTCAGATCATCGGAAAGGGATTTTCCACAAAAGGAAGCATTGGTGGAAATGCCCATGAGAATTGGTGTCTCATAAGGCTCCTCCCATTTCTTATTGGTCACTGTGTTCCTGAGGGTGATGACACTTGGGAAATTCTGATGCTTCTTAAAGACATAATCGAGCTGGCTGTGGCACCAAGGCTTACTGAAGAGACACTGCATTTCATGGAATGTAAAATAACAGAACACAGACGGCTGCTGCAGTCAACTTTTCCAGGTTTTCAGTTAAAGCCAAAGCATCACTATCTGGAACACTATCCTTACCTTGTGAGGAAGTTTGGTCCCTTGTGCGATGTTTGGACAATGCGCTTCGAGGCGAAACACAAGTTCTTTAAAAAAGCAATTCGGAATGCTCAAAATTTCAAAAATGTTGCAATGACACTCGCTACAAAACACCAGAAAGCAGTCAGTTACCATCTTGACTGCAGCGCATTTTTCAAACCATCGGTGGAGATGACAAGGGTTACCCCAGTTTTGCTTGCCTCTTTCCCTTTGAATGTTCAGAAAGTATTTGCTCGAGACATTGCAAAGGTAGATTCTGTTCTGGATGTGTCATCTGTCTGCATAGATGGAATCATGTATCATCCAGGCATGATTCTCTCTTTTGGCTCATGCTCAGGTCTCTCTGAATTTTCCCAGATTGAAAAGATTGTTACAGCTAACACAGAAATCCTGTTCATCTGCCACAAAATGACCGCATGGTACTGTGAGCATTTGAGATCTTACCAACTTCTCTGTGGTGATATCCCCTACACACATGTGGTCAAGATATCGGAGCTGAATGATGTCCTCCCGTTATCAGCATACAGGGTCCAAGGAGAACTTATGGTCACATTGAAACGATATGTTATTTGCTAAATTCTTGTGTATATCCTTTCTCCCCAGATGGCTCAGCAAGAGAAATTCATCATGAGGGTTATTGTCTCAGAGGGAGACATCAGAAAGTTGACAATGACAACACGACCGAACACACTTGAAGATTTGATTGGCTGGCTTAAAGGCACTCTCCAAGAAAATTACAACTTCGTCCTACAGTACCAAGACCCCGACTTTAACAATGAACTGTGTAACCTTGAAGATGTCTCAGAGCTCCCAGATAAGCCAACGATTAAAATCATCCCTATGATTGAATTGGTACCAGTCACTAAACCAGTTGAACAACCTTCATTGTGTAGTGACGCAAGCAGCCTGGCAGACACCGAGATCCTGTCCAGCTCCTCTCTGGATAGAAGTGTGCCATGGCCAGAGGTGTTTGAAATTCCTAAATTTTCAGTTGATGTTGAGTACCGACTCCGTCAAGGTAACTTGTTATATCTCAGGGATGGAACCTATCTCAAAGTGACAAAAGAGCTAAAGCATGATATCCTTGAGAAATTGGCTGAGGTCATCTATGCATTTGATGCATACCCAAAAAAGGAAGATTTAGCGGCTGTTGCACAAGCTTTAGTAGAAACGCACCCATGTCTTAAAGAAGCGGGGTCACCCTCTGGCTGTGTTGGATGGAAGAACAGTTTGAAGTTCAAGGTTGGAAATTACAGAGCCAAAATGTGCAAGCTGGGCCGACTTGACGTCACTGTCAATAGTGGTAAACGTGGAAGATACTCTACAAATGGCGACCCTCCAAACAAGGACATCAAGAAGCCAAGGAAAGGAGAAATAAATTTCCTGCCTCAGTATCCAGAGGGGTTGGATGACCGCAACCTGGAAGCAGCTCGCCAGGTTCTAGTCAATGAGATGATGAAGGCAAAGCCAAATGGGTCCCTTATTAAGAAAGAGATGGATATGACCTTTGCTCTTCGGAGAAAAGAAGTTGTGACAGACAAGCCTGCAATTACCCAGATTGTACAGCGATGGCCAGCACTTTTCTCCGAAAGCCAGGTTTGTATGCCTGTATTGAGTATTTACAAATACTCAATACAGTGGTTGACACTGTGTGACCCAAATCGTGTTGTGTTGAGGGTCATAAATGTCTTTCATTTGACCATGGGCCTATACATGTTGGGCTATGTTTTATGTTTTCAGGTGTGTTACGAGTTCACCCGAGTGGTGGGGAAAAATCTCAAAGAAAACTTCTTTGAGGCACTTGACCGTTTCTCGCCAAACTTGATGGACTTCTTCAGGAAGAAGAGGGGCCTCAGTGGACAGCTTTTAACTGACCTTTTACGTCAGACAAAGGTAGGCTGACTTGTCTACCTAAGCTGACTGCCTCTCTTGCCTATCTATTATTCCCCCCTTTCTTCTCATCTCATTACTTTTCACTGCTCTCCCGTTTCCATTTCCTCCTCATTTCTCCTACTCTTTATACTTTGCTCTTTTCTTGTTTTTATCTCTCCACTTCTGTCCTTCTATCCACTCCTCTCTACTTTCTGTCCAGGAAGGTTGTAATGAAGTAATTAAATTGTGGCGATTTTCTGGAATCTATTTAACCATGTACAGTATGAGTGTACTTAGTTATGTCCACTATCTTCCAGACCACTGAGCCAACAGACATCAGGTGCCTTTGTCTTCGGGGACTGCCAGTCGTCTTGGGGGATGACCCCTCTGCGTTCTTCAAAACCTGCTCGGTAAGTAACTGAATTTGTTTTGAATATCTGCAAATTTTACAGATTCCATTGTCTATTGACTCAATATTGAGAAAAGTACATTGCTGCTATGGATCCAAGCATTTTAGAGTCTTAGAATCTTAGTCCAGGCCTACTAGAAAGTTAGTTAGATTTTCTGAATCTGAAATCTGTTCTTTGTTCATACCTTTCCACATGTTGCCTTTCAATTATTTTCCATTTGAAGTGTAGGCTAACCAAAACCAAAGCCAAAATATTTAGATCTCCCCCTGGTGGCTGGCTGTGGTACATGCATACATCCTACCAAGCTCTCTATGAGCTTTCTCTATTATAATGAATAATAATGAATGTTATATTTGATTTAGATTTTTTCATTTTAAAATGAATTCTAATTTACGATTCATGCTGGTATGCTTAAGATCAATGTTGTTCTGATGGTATAATGTTTTTCCTAATTAGGACATCCATTTTGGTGGTTTATTACATAATGCACCAAATTATTACATTTTCTTCATAAAAAAGTGAAACACCCGCATTTTGTAATAACTGACGCAATATGTAACAACTTATTACAAAATGCAGCAAAGTTTATTACATATTGTGTTCAAGAATTTTATTACAAAATGCGGCAGATTATTACAAAATGTGGCGTTATTACATAATGAGATGAAAATTTATTACATCATTACATATTGCACCGTTATTACATAATGTGTTGCTACAACCCCTCTTTTTATTTTGCTGAGGACTATGAAAAACCTTTACATAAGTTCTTACTTTTTGAGATTAAAGGACAATACTGGTCTTAAATTTGTATCAACTGCAACAATTGCATCTGTACTGGAAACAAGTTTTTACACAACTTTTCAGCTTGACTGGGACTGAAAAAGCTCTCCATCTATGCTGAGCTACAAAACCATTTCAGCACACAGGTTTTCAAACAGCTCTTGTAATGCACAGATCAAATTATGGCGATTTAAAATTGGTGTTGCCCTTTCTTAATTTCTGTGGTCAACACAGCATTATTGACATTACAATGTCCTCTCTTTGTCTGTTTCTTTTTCTGTTAGGATGCAACTGACAAGGACTTTTACAGTGAAACTTCAGTGGGAATCCTCTGCATTGATGAACATCCTCAACTCAACCCATCCACAGTGAGCATCATCTTGGAAGGGAGTGTGGTAATGGAGGAGCTGGCCAACCTGCCACAGGCTTTCTGTGTCCTTTTTGGACTGATTTATGCCTTGCACTTGGATTACCCCAAGTGCATGAAAAGCACCTTCGACTTTATTCAACAGGTCATGCTAAACCTGGGCAGAGGTGAGCTGAAACCCAAAATTCAATCTTTGAAGAATCAACTATCTGTTTTTAAAACAGGGGTCTGAATACTTATGCCACTGCTCTGGATCTGAGTGCTTGGTTATTTGTAATGTTGCACTTTAAAAATACCATGTTTACTGTGGGCACTGTTTGATATGCAAGTTTTTTTATGCATTGCTACTGATTTTGCTGTTTGATTCCATCCCGATTAGTGTATGATTCATGTTATTAGCACTGATCTAGCAGTTTGGTTCCATTCCTATTTCTAGCTACAGTATGTTTTATGGCATTGGCACTTATTTTTGTAGTTTAATTCCATGCTGATTGGTGTATGATTCGTGTTATTAGCACTGATCTAGTTTATTTCCTATTGCATTGGCATTGATTTTGTAGTTTAATGCCATCCTGATTCACAAGAGTCCTATTTGATTTTTTGATTGCAAACCTATTTTGTTTGATAACGTGATAAAGACAAGTTAAATAAAACATGTAGACAAGAATGTACTCCTGTGGTTTTGCTTTTTATTTTCTTAATTAATTTAATCTGTATAGTTTTTTTTTCTATTAAACAGATTTTATTTTACTCTTCAGATAGTGGAGTAATTGGGCAAAGGAATTTTTAAGGTAAATCAACTTGGAGGTTAGTGTATTCAGCTTAAAGTTATAAGTGGAATAAATATGTAAAGCAATTGATATTACTAATGTTTTTAAGTTTAATCATCTT